ACGGAAACCTTTTCGGCCAGGTCCATGCTTCCTTCCCACCTGGGACTTGCAACCAAAAAAAATAAAAAGCATGCACCATCCAAGAAACAGCGCCACAACCGCCGTTTCAGGCTGTGGGGAAAAAAAATACAACAACAAAAATCAAAACAGGCCTGCTGCTTTTCATCGGCCAGCTATGCTAACTTCTCATCCAACATGGTGTGAGGGTCTGAGTTCTTCTGATGCATGGGCAACGGATCGCATTTGATCTTTCATTTGAGAGCCCGTTGTGTACAAAGGACACTGGGCTTGTACCCTTCCTTCGGCTCTTCCTCTCCAAAAAGGCTAACCCAAATGTCCGTTGCTTATGAATGCATCCCAGAAACAGGACACCCCCTGTTGAACTGTGGCTTATCTTTGTTTTCAGAAAGGGCCAACCACCCATCCATTGCTCTTTGGCCCCATAGCCTGGACAAGTTGCCTGGCTTGGTCTTTGACCGCATGCAACAAGTTGAATGTCCGGCTAGTTGCTGAGTGGCTTAGTTCGAAACAGAGTGCAGCCAAGATATACACCTCCCGCCGCACAAGCCCCACGAGCTTCTCAAGGGCTTTAGATCTCCTACTCCATAGCCTTACAGCTTTTGCCAAAAAGGTCTTCGATCCCGGTGCACGGGCCCTCAGTACCCCCAACAAAAAAGACGAACAAATCGGTCAGTATGCAAATAAGTGTCCAAGGCGCCATCTTCCCAAGGGTGCCCAAAAATGGGAGTCTGGATGGAGAGTCCCAACGGATCCCAGCTGAAATTGGAGCAAGAATCGCCCTGGCCAATGGAAGCATGGACTAAAATCTGCGGTCACCTGCAGTAATTTTGACCCATTATTTGGATTGGTGGTGTTGATTGGTGGTGTTGATTGGTGGTGTTGATTGGTCGTTCGCGGCTGATTTTTGACCCATACCCAGATGACCCTCTCCAGGCAGCCTTTCCTTTTCCGCTCAAGCCGCGCCCAAGGGGCGCTTCGGCTTCGCTCAGAGAAACCTGCGGAGCCACTCCCCGCAGCCCTGGCGGCCGGTTTCCGCGCCCTCGACGCCGGCAAAGAACACATGAGACGGCGGTGGCCACCTTTCGGCCTGAATGCAGAAGGAAGAAAAATATGAATGTAACCGCCAAAACTGCCGTCTTGTAGAGGAGCATATGTGCTTTTTAAGCGGTTCAGCCCTGGTTTGGCGCGGTTCAGAAGCTAAGCTCGAGAAAAAGAAACAAGCAGATGTCTGCTACACTAAGAAGTGTATCCCTGCAGCTGGCAGTTACCTTGGATCCCTCTACAATCAAAAGAGATGGGTCAGCACGCCGGGCCGTGGTCTCCATATATACTTCACCCAGAGCTGCTGATCCTAAATCAGAAGGGGGCAGGTGGGAAGCTACTTGGTTCATAAACCATTCTGTCAGACGCCGAAATTCGCTGGGCGGCTTTCCCTATGTCAAATGCAATGAAGAAAGACGTGGCGCGTGGATGAAATCATGAATCAAACCTTGCTGCGCACACACACGCACACGCACACCTACACATGGTTGTCCCTTTGACACCGTTCTTGAACGGGGGGAAGAGTACAGACATCCTGCACTGCATCCACTGAAACCGGAGCCATTCACTTGTTCAAAAAGGCTGTCGCCAACGCATATCTCAGCTCTGCATGGGTTTATCCGTCCACTCCGCCATCGTTCCATGTGATCCTCGACCGCATGGCTAACTCTTCCGGCAGATCGCCAGCCTCAAGAGATCCGAAGGTTCGGCGGACTAAATTCGCCTTCTCGCAGCTGGGCCCCAAAAACTATGGAAGAAACCCATGCCCCAATCCATAATCCCAAAAAAGGAAGCCACGACCAAAAGTGGACCACTTTGGAAACTAAAGGGATGGATTCAGGATTGCCTAACAGCCCAGAATACAAAGCCCAATTGTTTCTGAAGTAGAAAAGTGCTCTGAAAGATCACCTGCCAGTTGTAAAGGAGTCGCCCTTCGAGTTGAGAGACCCCCGCATCGGGCCCCGCAAACGCAGCGAGTGGACGGCCGGGGGTGTCGCGTGAAGACCCCTTCCAAGCAAAGCCCGGGACTCTGTGTGATGGCTGGTTGCAAGGATCAGCCATGGAAGGAAGCAGCTCTTGCAAGATTCAACTTGGTGACCTGCACCATAGGGGAAGCCCTTCCACATGCCCCATGTTTCACGATCGTCGATCCTCTCCGCAAATCCCTTTTTCTACTGAGCACGTTCGCTTCATCCGACAAGGGGGGGGTCTTTTGGCGATAACCCCCTTTGGATCAAAAGATGGGTTTGACTGGGGTTCGTATAAAGCCCATCTAAAGCAGACTCTATGTCTAACCAAACCCGATCAAAAGGACACCTATGCCTTCAGCCAACCACTCGCCCCTTGCTCTGGGCTCTGAGATGAACCCTCCTCTCGCTGGCTTTGCCACGAGGGGACCGTATGTACACAGCAAGAGTGGGACAGAAAATCCAATCGGGGCCAAGCAAAAGGACCCTGGCAAGTATCTTCCCCAAAACAAACATGGGACACCATCCAACATTGTGTTGCGTTCCTCCCAAAAGGCCACTTTCCGCCTCCAAAACCCTCCGAATCAAGTTCCACATTTGCCTGAGGGTAGGAGGATGAGTTGCCCTTTGAAAACCCCACCGACGCTTTTTTCCACCATTTAACTAGATCCTCCTAATGAATGCGGGGCCCCTACTGACACTACTCTGGGAAATAAGTATTTGATAAGGTGCCTTTCGCCTTTCTTCTGCTCTGAAGTACGCCCAAAACCACAAAATGATGCATCGTACACCCTGTTGAGTGACCCTCCATGTTCAGTGGGAAAATCATGAACAACCGGGGAGAGTCAACCTATGGTCAGCACAACCTCAAGCGCCGAATAGGAAGCAGTTGAAACAGGCTGAAGTCACATAGTCGTCTCATATGGGTTTTGCCAACAAAATCGGGAAACCCTAATATGGGTGCCCTGCCCTCTGAGTCAAAAACTCAAAAAAGACACAACCCTACATGGGTTTGTCTCAGAATACGCGATCCTCAAAATTGGTGTTCCTTCTGCTCCTCTTCAAACACACCCCCAAAGAAAGCACCATCAAAAAGGCACGGCCACATTGTCAACCTGAGGCTGGATGCAGTCCCACCCCGGTACACGAGGAATCGACCTCTGCGGGCGTCAAGCAAATGATGTTGGCCCAGCGTAGCGGCCCATTCTCAGCCGAATTTTGACCCTCCAGAGTACAAGCTTCCACTTTGGATTCACTCAAAAACCACAAAATTGCCTGTCCTCAGATCCCCTGCTAAAAGAGTATATTTTGGTGGTTTAATGGAAACCCAACCACTGAACCAACTAAAAACAAGCCCCTCGCGGGTTGAAATGAAACATGGGTGAGATCTGTGCAAAGAAAAAAAAGAGGGAAAAAAAACGTTCAACGCCCCTCTTGGCTCTTTCTCCCGCACCTTCCTCCCTGCGTTAAGCTCTGCTCGCAACTGCCAACCTCTGACACCTGATTTGCGGGCACTGATTGGTAAATGCTGAATCAACACACAGCTTTCCCGAGTGATTCAAAGCTGTGACCATGACACATCAGGAACACTGCATCTGGCTGAACCGTAGTCATGGATGGCTGAAAACGGTGAGACCAAACTACTAGCTGTATGGTAGGGACCAATCACCAATCCCTGCCTTCCGCCCGCAAGGCCTCCAATCCCGAAGCGAGTGGCCCGCTGGTCAAGAGATGGTCCAATCGAGGGACCGGAAATTGAAGGGGTGATCTGGCGCGCGAGCGCCACACTTGGATCGAGAAATTAACCCAAGATTCATCAACTGGTCAACAGGGAGAGTTCCATAGAGGGGCATCCGGATCACTTGCACCACACTCCCGGAATCCGCATCAGATTGGGGGGAACAAACACCAAACACCCGCTAATTGATCCACCATGTTCGGCTTAGGACTCCTTCACTGTTTTCTCTTCTCGTTCTAAGGCGCGCAAGCGCCAGCTCACCGCTCCTCAAGTTTTCGCCGGTTGGCGCGTGCATCTGCCTGAGGCAATGAGCTTGTAACCGTCGCGGATAGTTCTCTCGCGTTCGTTTGGTGCGTTCTTTTGGGGCGGAGAGGTTGGTGCCTGTTTGCTTCGATCGCTCGGTCTCACTCTCTCAGAAATTCCACATCCACCCGGAACACCAAAGGACCGGAACCCCGGAAGGCCGGAAGGTGAGGCTGTAGGCTTGAGACCTCGGGCTATGTGCAGGTAGGGATTTACAAGAACCGTCGCCTTACAAGCTATTGCATGAATACCTCCACTGCAGGGCGAGTATTGTACGATTGTTTATATCTATACATATATATATATATATATGTATACATATATATACATATATATTTGGCGGGAAAAACCTGAAAGTGCTGAAAGGAAGGTTGGACAACCTTTGGATCCCAAAGTGGACCTTTGGGCGTGCTAGGTGACCTTTTGCTGAAAGCAAACGATAGGTTTTTTTTTTTTTTTCTGGGATGGGGAAACAAAACCAACGAAAAAAGACACGTGGAACCCATCTACGAACCAAACGATCCGATCAAAGGACACCTCTTGGTGCCCTTCACTTCCATCCAAACTCCCGCCAAGGTTGGAGTCGAACGGACTCCAGGACCCCAAGCTGATGGATTTTGGTCTTCTGGTTGGTATCCCTGAAAAAACCAAGCTGACTGGGGTGGTACCCTCACAAAAAAATACACACACACACACACAGAACACACACAGAACACACACGTCAAGGGCCTGCCGTGGGTCGTCAATCGCTTTTGGCCCCAGGCACGCGTGCAAAAAGCACCCGCAAAAACAAGACTGGTCCACTAGTCACCAGTCATGTCAGCAAGTGCGAAGCGTGGCAACTTTTGTCGCAGTGGCCCGAAAACCCGCGCGACCCAAAACTCCCTGCGAGACCTCCCCCTAAACCGCAGATCTGCCGCGGGCCGCGCCTAAGCTAGGTTCAGGAGAGCAATCTCCTTGGACTCCCTGCACGGAAAGCGGCAGGCCCCTCATTCAGATGCCTCTCCCCTCCTCAACCACTTTGACCTCATGTGACTGATTCACGGAACCCACTAGTACTCCTGATCAACTGACACAAAAAAAATCTAGCGATCGCTTTTTACCAGGCTACCAAAGACCACCCTTTTCGCATTTCCCAAAGTTCCCACTGGAAACACTTGAACAGGCCAAAGTGCCATCCTTGATATCCCACACCAAAAAATCTGCTGAGCTTGGAACCCAACCGGCCAGTTGGCTGTGACTTTTAGGAATCGGACCCCCAAAAAGAAGAGTTTTCGTTCTTAGTTTCCCACCAACCGAAAGATGGGTACCAACTCCAAGAAACAAACCAGCCACCCAGTTGCAGAATCTCTTTGTGACGCGAGCGTTGTGGCAGGGAGCCCATGCCCTCCGAACGTGTGAGACTTCATGTGCCGGCGCCTGTATCTCACCCAGTGCTTCTAGTTGCCTCTTTAGTTGGTACCCAGAGTTTGCAGCTCTGTGACTGAATTCAAGAACTCTTGCAAGCCAACTGACTCCGGAGTGGCCAGCCTCTGGAGAGCAAGATAGCTGTCACGGCCGGCAGCAAACAACAGGAGGACCGGGAAAACAATGCAGGCTAGAAGATCACATGGCTAGCCTTAAGCAGCAGGGCAAAAAGACACGCTGCCTCGCCAAACGAGGTCTTTGGAAGTAAGTGTGACCCTTTCGCATCTCTGAGACGGAAACCGCTATTTGACTCTTGTCTGAAAGGGATCCCCAATCCTAGGAAGCTCAAGGGTGTGTTGTTACTGGACATCCCGCAGAAAGAAGGTAAGAACTTAAAACCCTTGGGATATGGGAGCCCTAGGTTTACCCCCAATTGGGAGGTCGTGTCACTTGCACTGAGTTGCCAGCCCTCTTGACGCGGGGGTCTCCGAAAATCGGAAAGGATCCTCTGTTTGGATGGTCTCTATCAGGACACCAAGAGCCAGCCGAAAAGAGGGGCACCCATCGGAACGCCGCACCCACACCCACCCCATGTGTCCATCAGCAAAGAAAAAAATTCGGTAGATGGGACTCCCACTATGACCCAACAAAACACATGAGTCAAAATCAAAAGTAACAAAATGGTCTACCAAAAACCGCGGAAAGAATCTACAGGGCAGCTACTAACCTTCACTTACCCGGGATTGATCTTGCCTCACCTGTCGGAGCCCGCCTTTGCTTTGATGCCCCGTCCACGCGCCGGAGGAATCCGGCAGCGCAGCCTGCAGTTGGCCGCTCAAGGCGGCGAGAAGTACATCATTTGTGGGCTCAGTATATGCATGTATGTATGTATGTATGTACGTATGTATGTATGTATGTACGTATGTATGTATGTATGTATGTACGTACCTGCATGCATCCATGCAAAGAGGGAGGGAGGTAGGTAGGTATGTATGTAATGTATGTAATGCATGTAATGTATGTCATGTGTGTAATGTATGTCATGTATGTCATGTATGTCATGTATGTCATGTATGTAATGTATGTAATGTATGTAGTGTATGGAACGTATGTAATGTATGTAATGTAAGTCATGTATGTAATGTATGTAATGTATGCAATGTATGCAATGTATGTAATGTGTGTAATGTATGCAATGTATGCAATGTATGTAATGTACGCAATGTATGCAATGTATGCAATGTATGCAATGTATGTAGTGTATGTAATGTATGTAATGTATGTAATGTATGTAATGTATGTAATGTATGTAATGTATGTAATGTATGCAATGTATGTAACGTATGTAATGTGGGCAATGTGTGCAATGTATGTAATGTGTGTAATGTGTGCAATGTATGTTATGTATGTAATGTATGTAATGTATGTAATGTATGTATTGTATGTAATGTATGTAATGTATGTGATGTATGTAATGTATGTAGTGTATGTATGTATGTATGTAGTGTATGTAATGTACGTATTGTATGTAATGTATGTAATGTATGTAATGTATGCAAAGTATGTAATGTATGTCATGTATCTAATGTCTGTCTGTCTGTCTGTCTGTCTGTATGTATGTATGTACGTATGTACGTATGTACGTATGTACGTATGTACGTATGTACGTATGTACGTATGTACGTATGTACGTATGTACGTATGTACGTATGTATGTATGTATGTTTGTATGTATGCATGTATGTATGTACACTATGTATCGATGCATCTGTGCGTACTGCCTACTCACTCTGTCAGCATACATCGGGTTCCAAATCTAGGGGCATCCCCCTTAACCAGGGAAGGGCTGGCCTCAAGTACCAAAATCCAACTGGCCAACTGGCGCTAGTTGTTTTTGGTCACTGACTCAAAAACTGGGCTTTGGAAATCATCTCTGCCAAAGGCAAAAAACAACTAAGATGCTGCAAACCACTGACCCAACCAAAGAAAAGGAAACGCCGACCTCCATGACCTCCACGCGTCTCTCGTCTCTCTCTGCCCGCCCCCATAACGGTCGAGGCGCAGAGCAGGCCGCTGCCAGTCACGAGGAGAAGCAGCCAAGAACCCGAGACCACCTCGCGGCGATGCCAAAAGCGCGCGGTACCCCTCCAGACCACTGGGTTTGTTTCAAACGAGGGAGCCCCAACATGGCGTCGGCGTCGGTGTGCCTTTTTGCTTCCCATCAAAGCACCCAAAAAGGGCGCCTTCAAGAAAAGGCAAATGGGTTTGTCTTAAAAGAGGGATATGGTGCCAAAACATGGCGCAACGGCGCGACGGTGTTCCTTTCCGCTTCCCTTAGCAATACCTTCAACTCCCAGAATTTCCATTTGGGCTCCCACGCAGTGTTGGGTAACCATTGGCAGCATAATCAGGCAACCCTTCCTTACTGGTTTGGATTGGTGCTGTGGGGATTTGAGGCCTTGGCTCTTGTAGAGGGATGGCAAACCACCTCCTTACCCTTGCCACCAATCCAAACCACCAGGTAAGGGGGAGGCGGATTCTGGCGGAACTAGAGTTACAAGTACTCCTCCCACCTGCCTCATCCGCAACAAGTCGAATGGGTTTCTTACTCCGTATGGGAAGCACGCGACATCTCCAGAAACTCCAGAGGGCACTTCCCCATTCTTTGCAGGGATCCTTCTTTCCAGAAAGCCATCAGAACCGCAGGGGAAACAGCTGGTTTTTGAAAAGAACGATGGTTGAAAAGAATGGAAAAGGAATCAACCCCTAGAAAAACGTTCGCTCCAGCTGCCGAAGAAGAGCCCAGAAACTTGCCCGTGGCTTCGAGCAACCTGGCGGGATGACTTGATCGGGGGCAGGGCAAACCCCATGTTCCTGACCTGGGTGCTGCATAGGTGATGTGCAAAAAATGATACATGTTCCGTCCCCTTGCGGGTTGCTTTAGGGGTCATCAAAAAATACAGTTGATTTACCTATTTAGCACCCAGCAGCTACTAATCACAAGCCAGAACAAGTCCAGGCCTACCCAAGCCGCCAAAGAGCCCTGCCTTGAGCTGCTCGGCCATCGGGGGCCTGCATTCGTAGCCGGACATGCGGAGCGACAGGGTTCGAGCTCCATTCTCAGAACCAAGCAATCAAGGGTACCCGACTCTTTCCAATCGGGGAATCCCCAAGAGGAAGCTAGTCTTCCAACACCCTCCGATCGTCAGCTTCCATGGTTGGAGGAACAAACCTCGGAAGGATGTGGCTAACTGGGCACTCGTTTGCTCCTTTGCTCGTGATCAAATTCCCAACTGCTCATTTGGGAGTTGATCAAGATGCTACTGTTTATGGACGAAATCCTGCACCACCCAGGAAACTCTGGAATGTTTGGATTCCCCTGTAAATACCAGCAACAATGGTTTCCCATGGTTTCCCAAGTGGTGCAGGATTTCGTCTATCCACAGTATGAGAACTGGACCCCCAATGCATCTCCGGTCGCGCCTTGCCAACGCCTGGCTTGCCTGGCCCACCTGGCCAAAGCCAGCCACACGAGATGAAATGGGCGGCTTCCTGGTTGGTTTCCTTCACCAAAGGAAACTCACAAGGACCAAAAGGTGAAGCACCTTTTGCACAAAATATGGGTGGCCCTCCGGTCTTTAAGGGGAAGCCAAGAGGAAAACCGTTGCACAATTTTGGGGGTCCAAATCCACCCATCGTCACGCCTCTGGTCACGTCTCTTGTCACGTCTTTGGTCACATCCTTTGTCACGTCTGTCGTAACAACTCTGGTCCCGTCTCTCGTCATAACTTTTATCACATCTCTCATCATGTGTCTCGACGCGCCTCACGTCACGACTCCGTCACATCTCTCGTCCTGTCTTTCGTGGTCTTTCTCTCTGGCCACAGCCCTGCTCGCGTTTCTCTCGTCGCGTGTTTCGTCGCGGCTTCGCGATCTCAAAATGTGGTCCAAAGTTTCACTGTGCGATCTCAAAATGTGCAACGCGCCACAGCGAGATCCACCCAAAGTGCGCAGAGGGTTCGCGTCGCGAGCTCAAAATGTGCACCGCGCCAAAGCAAGAGCGACTCGACCCGCCCAAAGTGAGCAGAGGGTTCACTTTGCAATCTCAAAATGTGAGCCGAGCCACAGCGAGAGCGATGCAACCCACCCAAAGTCCGCAGAGGGTTCACTTTGCAGTCTCCAAATGCGCACCACGCCACAGCGAGAGCGACTCGACCCATCAAAGTGCGCGCCTGCCACGAAATCTGCACGCAACCTGGAAGTACTGCGCCTGCCACGAAATCTGCACGAAAAGCTCTAAAGTGCGGGCGTCTGCCACGAAATCTGCGCGAACAGCTCGAAAGTGCTGCGCCTGTCACGAAAAATGACGCCATGCAAAACGCTCAAAATGCTGCGCCTGCCACGAAATCAGAATTTGACACTCTCGCACCGCACGCGGAAAACTAGCGCGGGACTGGACCGCCAGAATGATTTCGACCGATTTCTGGCAAAATCTAACGTCGTGAAAACGAGCCGATTGCACGACAGGGCCAACGACAACGACATTTGAGAAAACGCTCGCGCGCGCGCATTCCAAGCAAAACACCTCAAAACGACAACCCCTCAATGGATTTGCAACGCAAACGTGAACCTTCGCAAAACGCTGCGCCTGCGCAGCAAAACAGCGTCTGACTCGCTAAGAGCTACGATTCCTGCACAGGGGCACGAAAAATGACACGCTTCAAGTCATCTAAATGGCACGTTTTTCGCTTTCCCCATTGGAACTGCGACCGCGACACTCGCGAACATATACAAACGCTTGCGAACACTTGCGAACGCTTGCGAACACATACGAAGGCTTGCGAACGCTTGCGAACGCTTGGGGACGTAAATTCACTACTTCTGGTCACCCCCAGACCCCCGACCTCTAAACGGGAACTCTTCTGCTGCGCATTCGGCGAATGCGTCCCAATCGAGCGCCTTCAAATTTAGGGGGTGGGGTTGGAACACCCATTCTACAGCATAAAACTGGGATTCGTTCAGGCTCAGCACAAATAATAAGACTCAAGTACGCATTTATCCTCAAGCTTTCGAAATATTCGATGCGTGCCATGCCTCCCTCTCGGGTATCAAAACCAAGCCAAGCCAGGGCATGGCCTTTTGACTCCGAGGAAAAAAGAAACAACAAAAAATGAATCGAAACCGCAGACTCGGTCCAAAAGAACATGCGAGGAAAACTCTGCGATGCCCTGGATCCTTCGCTCACCAAGCCAGGGGCCCTTTGCTCACCAAGACTTTGTGTGACCTAGGTCAAACGCACTGATCCTTTGCTCGCCCATCGACACTTTGGAGGCCCTGAGCTCCACCAAAACCCAAAAAATGCCAACCCCAAGAACAACATCTGGCTGGTCAAAAATGGGGCAACCCCAAAATGGCTTGAACCCTGGTAAATGGAACCCAGGATTCAAACCTGGGGTCCATTTTTTCTGGTGGTTTAATTCTCTGGTCCGGTCCCTGCCAAAAAATTGTCGGGTCGCCTCCAGAGACGCCTCCTTGAGCTCCTCCGAAGACGCCTGCGGCCCTACGTCCACCGCCTGAGATCAAAACGCAGGCAATGGGATGTGACTCAGGTGACAATTCACGTTGGTCAGCCCCTTTAGATGGCTTGAAACCCCAAAGAAACTGACCTAAACGAAAAAAAGAATGGGTCCCAATTTGGAGAAGCACCCGAATGGGTGGTGGGTGTTGTCTGTCCGCCAGACCTCCCAAAAGTCACAATCAATTGGCTGTACAGCTCTATACAGCAAAGGTTTGCTGCTTCTTTGCGAAGTTAGAGAGTGACATCAAGCAACACAACTGCCAAGAACACCCGTCCTGGAAACGCAAAGCTACACCAGGCTATTGGCAAATGGCACGATTCCCTTTATGTGGATAAGTGAAGGGGATGGAACTGTGCCATGCACTTTACTCCAATGGTATCATGTTGACTTTAGATGATTCCAGAGGATCAAACAACTCAGGGTGGCTCCCCATTATAGCAAGATAATGTTTGTTTAGGAAGTGCGCATGAGCATCTCCCGGATCATTTTTTCCGAAGTCAACATGACATCAGCTTCCCTCGAATTGGTCGTTTGGATTGGCGGTCTCGTGATTCGGGGTGCAAATGGCTGTGGGTCAAAATCCCGCACCCCTGGTGAACATCCCAATCCCCACTAAAATAGGTGCTAAAATGGGTGGTGCACCTACCCCAACATGGGATCGCCATAGGTGATGCGACCCATGGCCAAGCGGGTCCCCGGTCTCCGAACCAAACAAAAACCACCGAATCGCCGCCCGTCGCCGCGCTTTCGCCGGGCGAAAGCGCGGCGAGACCCCGCCTCCACCACGCCCCGCAGCAGCCCCCTGCGCTGCTCCGCGTGGGCCAAAAGCTCCTGGGAGCTCTGCGCGCGCGCGGAAACTCGTGAGTCATTGTCCCTTGCTAACCTTCATCTACCCGTGTCTTGTTTGGGGCTCACGTGTCAATGGTACCCTTCGGGGTTTACCTTTTTCCACTGAAATGAACAGCCTCCCTTGAAAAGGGTTTCTACACTACCAGGGGCCTGCTTGTGTATCCTGGAAAAGCAAACCACGATACTCCATAGCTTGGCACGACCCCAAATTGAAGGGAATAAAATGAATCCGTCCAGCGAGAAGGGTTGTTGATAGTGCAGACTGGTGCCCCTCCCCTTAGCCCTCTGCGGGGCAGAGGAGAGGGGGATATGAAGCTATGAAATTCTGAAGCTAATGATAAAATCTTGAGTACCAATCCGGGGAGCGCAAAATGAGGCAGAAAGTGAAGGACCCGCCCACGGGAGCGAACGTCCCAACGGCTGGTTTGAACCCTGTTGACCTGACACGTATCCGACGTGCAGTTAACATCGAACCAGCAGGTGGCGTTAACAGGTGGGGCAGCACCCCCAAGCACTGCTCTTTGGGCAGTACTTGGGAAAATGGACATGGGAAAAAGCAGGGGCTTCTGTGATTTACGAGTGCTTGAAATGTTGCAAGAATCATAGGTGACCTGTCGGTATTCACGAGCCATAACTACCAAAAAAACAGACTAATCGAAGTTGGGCCACACGGAAGCCAGCGGGACATTTTCGAAAAAGCCAAGGCAAAACATCCCAGGCAGCGTGGAACTCCGCAGATGCCGATTCCCCAGATGATGCTTGGAAGCCTCCCATTTAGCGCGACAGCTCATTCGCGATTCCTGGAAACAAACGCCATCCTCTGCTCATGTCTCCGTTTTCAAGGCTGGCAGTTTTGGGTGTCACGCGGAGTACCCGAAAACAGCCGCGTACTCCGCAAGAAACCGGCCACTCGCCCGGCCCAGCAAGATTTGTCCGTGTCGATCTCTGAAAACAATCCTACATGCTTTGAGGGACATGTATGTAGGGGTTGATTCCCCACTCTTTTCAACCATCTTTCTTTTCAAAAACCAGCTGTTTCCCTGCGTTGTTTGATGGCTTTCTGGAAAGAAGGATCCCTGGAAAGAATGGGGAAGGTAGCCCTAGACTGTAGGGCATGTAGTAGGCCCATGATCGCGTGTAGAACGATAGCGGTTTGCAAATGCAGGATCCCGATCATTCAAGTGCACAACAAGATCTGGCATGCATCGGTCGAAGGAACTTCAGTAAAGAGCAGACTATAACAGGAAACCTGAGTTTTCCAGTGTTCCCCTGGCCTTGCAAAAATGCTCAATGGGCCCCTGTGAACGCACCAATCATGACACCTTGCCCAGAAGGGAATGACCGGGAAAATATTCGTCCCTGCGTTCACTGGCCCAATTCCAAAGGCATTTCTGCACAAACGACTGGATGACTTGTGAGCGTTTTTTGGCAAACAATTCGACTTCCCTCGAATAACCGCGGGAAGAGGGTCGGACACCCGAGGGCTGGAAATTTCAAAGGAAACACCCCACATCTCAAAGAGGCTGAAAGGAAAGGCGGCGCTTCACATTTTTTCTTGCCGTCCTGCATGCTCTTCTGCGTCTGCGTCGTGAGGGCCGCTGTGAGAGACCTACAGGTCTCTGGGTGAATGGTGATGGCCATGGGTCAAAATCCCGTACCCCAGTGAACATCCCAATCCCCACTAAAATAGACCAAAAAGGGTGGTGCACCTACCCCGAAATGGTACCGTTGGTTTTGACCCACAGCCAAAGGGGCCTTGACACCACACCGATGAGCCGACTGGACGAACACCACACCGATGAGCCGACTTGCCGAACATTGTTCAACTAGAAGTCGCCAGGTTTGGCGTGCACATCTGATTCGATGGGAAAAAACAGTGCTTACCCCAACGGGCATAGGCCCCGCATGGGCTCTGTCTTTTTAGGGTAACACATATTGTTGGGGTAAAATCAGAAGGAAAACCGGAAAGAGAACCAGAAGGAAAACCAGCAGGTGCCAAAGCGTTTTGCGGCAAACCCAAATTCGGAAAACCCTTGTGCCATTTGGAGGCGTTCATCTGAGAACAGGGAGCACGGCGAATAGTCAGATGTCCCAAACGTTCCAACAGTAAAAAACACTGTCTAAACGGCTTGCTGCGATGGTTGATCCTGGGGGGGGGTCTCCTTTTACGCATACATATTCTGACCCCCCCCCCCCACCATTTCTTTCCACTTTACAAACTCATCCCACCTCCGCCATGGGCGCGTAGAACGCCGAAGAAAAAACGACCAACCCCCCCCATCCACCCCGCCCCGCCCCACTCGGGCCGAGTGGCTTCTGCAGCTCCGCTCCCGCGCGGGACGCCTGCTCCCGGAGCTCCGGGTCCTGCGGAGAGAAAAACAATCAAACCGCCGGCGTTTGGACTGGCCATGCGGGGGTTGGGAGGGGGGGTTGGGAGGTTGGGGGGGTTGGGGCGGGTGGTGGGGGGGGGGAGAGATTTGGAGTTGGCTTCTGTGGTGATAAAGGGGAAGTGGACATCAGGTCCAGAAGGCCGGTATCCGGAGTGGAGTTTCATGGGTGCCTTTGCTTCAGCCATCTCAGGACATCACCACAACCCTTGCGTCGATTCTTGGGCAGAGTCTTGGCTTCCTTTCTTTTTTGTGTGTAAACTGGCCCCCATGTCCGCTTACGTATAGAAACTGAAGAGTACCACATATTAACATCCTATGGTTATTACTTACTTTGGTTGTAAAGTTCCCCTCAACCCATTCTACTTGTGTGGGCCGTCAAGAGAAGGTTGTTTGAACACTGGGCGGTTGAACATGTTGGAGCAAGGGCTTGGTGAAAGATTCCCGAAACCCACCCCAAGAGGAAGAGGAAGGGCATTGTGCCAGGGGGCTTTTTGGACAAGGGGTAGGCCACGCCGCGTGAACACTCATCGCTTTTGGAAAGGGGCCAGGGTCGTTAGTAAAGTGCCCGAGATCCATTCAAACCCTCCCAGATTTCCAGATGGTTAAGCATGACTTTTCACAGCTAGGGGGGAAAAAAGCACTTGCAAGCCGGTATATTTGGACGGAACTGCATCAGGGGAGCATGCATCCAACAGTTGAATACATTTGATCTAACTTGCTAAGCATTGATCGTATGTTGGCCTCAAGTTATTGGCTTGTTGAAAGGGTTGCTGCTGAACTGAAACATGGCGCTGAGACTCGTAGCTTCGGACGTCCTGCGTTGCTTCGGGGCAACTTTGAACCATGTCATCCGCGCATGCGAGTAATATTGCTATGAATTTTAACGGGGAGCCGCCTGAGAAGTGATTGGTGGACAGAAACCCTCACCTAAAAGATTTCCACCAAAGTGTCCCTAATTAAAATTCATAGCCATATGTCGATAGGTTCTAACAAGCTCCGGGGCTCCTCTTATAGTCGTGACTTGGTTCGGGTCGAGCATATGCCCTCCCCATTCTGATTGTTTAGCGCCTCGGGCCCTTTTCACCCATGGGACTAAGAGACGCCTACAAGCTGCCGATGCTTTGACGCTGCGTTATGCCGGGGAGCCTGTCCGAGCTTGCCATAGCCCGAAAAGCAAAGACCCTAGCAGGACACCGGTTGAAAGAAAGTTGACACACGCCTTACTCCAACCATAACTCCAGGTAGGAACCAGAACACTTATGCCAAATCGGGGATACCCGAGTAGAAGTATGGGCCTCAAAGGCTTGAGGCAGGCAAGCGATTTCGATCGGCGGAACCTGGATACTGTCTCCCACCTGTCTTGGCACATGGCAAAGGGGGAAATGATATCAGGGGGTGACGGGTCTGTCATAGACATGAGTCTCCACCTAGTTCGGTTCCTTCTCCTTACAACCACGACCTTCCGAAGACCGATGAGAGTAGAAATGTAGGACCCGAAAATACGGCGACCATCCAATCCACCAGTAGCCTTCGTCTTCCTTTTTAGAGGCTTAGAGCAAAGCGCAAGACTTTCGCAATCTGCGAGGCCTTCCTCTGGCTTGCCCTCAGAGAGTCGGACTCGGAGCCCAGGGTATACCAAAACTGCCTATGAGGGAGCCTTTCGGAGCTACCGAGCGGAGTTTTGTACGGACCCGCCCACCCTCCAAACATGAACAAACCCTGAAAAATGGCACCAAACGGTCTTCAAAACTTCGCCCCCCCACCCTGCGGAAACCCGACCTGGGCGGCCTCCCTCACCCTGGCCGTCCACTCGGCAGCGCCCTGGCGGGAACTCGGAACCCGGCGGTTTTCTCTCGGGCGGCGTTCCTTTCATAGACCAAGGGATGGGGTTCCGGAGTTTGTTTGGGATTGGGGCGAATACAACCCAGATCTAAACCAGCGGAATCTATGTCTAACCAAGCTCACGAATCAACAGGACTGTTGCTTCCGTGTGGACCCAACCGAAAGATGTCCCCCGACCATCATAGAGTCTTTCCATGACATTCCGGGAAAATGTGGCCCTGGCTGTAGCCAAGGGAACTTGTCCCCCCCCCCCACTCATGCCTCTAATGGCACGGATCCCAAGTAGCCATCGTTTCCCAACGAATCTCCTCGTGGGGGACGCTCTGTTGATTTGCGAGCCGTCTTTTTTTTGCTTGCCAAACATTGCCAACCCCAAACCACTCTTTGCTCCAGCTTTCCTGGGTGTTTGCAACCTTTAGGCGGGGTACTGTTCAAAACAAACAGGGGGATACGGAGATCCGGCCTTTCTTGCGCTTGAAATCTCCCACTGGTTGGCTCCTTGTTGAGCTTCGGACGCCGATCAAAATTCGGATACTCCTTTAGGTTGGGTTGTCTCTTTGGGTCCCCTTGAATCGCAACCGCAAAGAAGATGACCTTGAAATCGGCCCACAAATCCGCGGGAAACACCTGAAGGGGCCTCCAAGGAGGCTTGATGTTCATACCCCGCTTTTCCCCTTGGTGCAAAAACCACCATAAAGCAGGTGCAGGGGTGTGTACTTCAAATTTGCTGGGTGAGCTTCTTTTTCTGGGCTGCGCCCTGTTTCGATGACTTTCACGGAGGGCTGTGGGAAACGACCACTTTCTGTATTCCAGCAATTCCCAAAGACTAACCTCCCCCGCAAAAAAAATGGAGATTCCCCTGTATCACACAAATGGCTTGTAACCCCCCAAAAGAAAAAACAACAAGGAGATTCCCTATCACAGAAATGGGTTGGATAAACCCCCGAGTGAGAAACCACAGCCCCGGTTTTTCCAGGACACCAAAACCTGGCCATGGGTCAAAATCCAAATCATGACCCCCACTGAACATTCCAATCCAACCACTACAAAAATAGGTTCTAAAATGGGTGGTGACTTCACCTACCCACCAAAATGCGATCCCAAAATGGTCTAATGACCACCACAGCCACACGTCAGAATGACAAGGGATGGCTCACCAGTCAAATAGCGAAAACCCCAAAAACGAGGAAAAGGTTGGAGATTCCCTTGTAGCACACAAAAGGAAAAGGTTGGAGAAGCCCCGAGTGATCCCGCCCTACACCAGCCACCCCTTGGAGCGAAGCTTCACTCCCGCCTGGCGCATGGCCTTGGACGCCGCCTGGGCGCGCAGCCGCAGCTGCTGCGTCTCCGCCTCCTCGAGCCTCCGGACGTCCCACGTGGACGGAGCCAGTGACGGGTTCGAACTCATCTCTTTTGCGGTTGATTGTATCTTCAGTGGACATGTCTTAGCGGTTGAAATGGGGTTGAATGATCTTCAGTGGAAATATATTGGTTGAAAGATCTTTTGTGCTTGAAAATATCATAGGATCATATCTGTTTCGTGGTTTCCCAACCAGGTTGCATGGGCTTGATCGATGTTCCATTTAGGGCCCCCAGTTTTGACCATGGGTACTCTTCTTATCTAATTGATGGGAAATATCACCCGCAGTGGTCATCCCATGTAGCACGAACCTTTTGAGCAACCTCCATGGAATGGGCTTTTGACGTTCAAATGGGAACAAAAATGAGGTAGCCCGAAATGGTTGGCCAGCTGAAACTTAGGACCCGGGGGAAAATGTGACCAAACAACCCCACAAGCGTTTCTGTGTGGCTGTATATCCGAACAAGCTTCTGAGGGCCCTGTGGCTTGCCCTTCTAGGTGCCCTGAAAATGGCGATTAAATCTCTGGGTGACTTGGAGGTATCGCAAAAAAAATGACGGACCCAAATGCTGGCGCGTCAAAAATGGTTGGGGTTGTTGGCTTCACCCGTTTCCCCAACTCGGAAAGGTTCTTAGAACCTTACGAAACGGCATCCTCGTGGGGTCGGTATGGGGAATCAAGATGGAACCCTGGCAATTTGGAGGAGGCCAATCCTGGTGTCGACACTTTCCTCAAAGACGTGTGAAAAAAAAAAAAAAGTGCCTGAAGTGCCACTCCTTGTTTGACGATATTTTGAGAAGTGGAAAGGCAACTGAACCCAAAAAAATCGTTCTGCTTGTTCCCCCTTGTACACAGCATTGCGAAACTCGGGGCCTTGAAGTCATTTGCACCTTGAAATGGGTTGCTGAAGTGTTGGAGGGGCCCAACCGTGGACGACGTTCCATGAAAGCAACATCCTCAAGATTACCTCCCAAACGGTGGCTTAAACAGAATGCCCCCAAACAGACACATGAGCCTGGGTAGTATCCCCAACAGCCCCGGAACGCCCTGGAACCCTCCCTGATCGCTGCCCCAAACTACGCCTTATCGCCTATCTGGGCCTATCGACCCCAAAGCTTCCAGCTGTTGAGGAAGAAAACCTGCTAAAAGTTCTTCACTTGTGGGTTACATGGAAATTGTTTTATTGAACCAACTAGAACCAACAACAAAAACCTACGACAATCATGAAACCAACTCAACGAGAAACCACTAAAACCTAAGAACAACTAAAACAAACAAAAAAACAGCCAAACAAACCTAAAAACCAACTCAAAAACAACAAAAACAACTGAAAACCCGGGGGAACAAAAAAAAAAAGAAGAAGAAAAAAAAAGGGAAAAAAAGGAAAAAACTAGACCGCCTGGTGATGGCCCCGGAGGCGGCCCGGCTGGCATCCTCCAGCTCCTCCGGAGCCGAGGTTTTCTCTGCCGTGGGTCTCGTCCCCCTTTCTTTGCAAAAAAAAAGCTGGGGACCCGAATTCCTTGGCGCGTCCACGGCTGTTCCTGTTGGTTTCACTATGACAAAAAAGAAGAAGTTGCCTTAAACCAAGAGAAGACGCGCCCACAGAACTGGGGCGGCGGTTCAACGGCGGTCCTGGTGGGTTACCAAAACAAGACAAATCACGAGCATAGACCCCAGCTACCCCAAAGCACCCGCACTTTCAGTCTGGGGAGGGGAAACTAAAGTCGCCTTAATCAAAAAGAAGACACGCCCAAATTTGAGCCGTCCTGCCTATTTGTTCTGCTGAAATTGAGTGAGTCCACGCCCCGAACAAATCCACATTCACTGGCAGGATCGAGAAAATGTCATGTGGAGATCTGTCAACAAACGTTGGAAGCTTCTCTTTTTTCTTTTTTCTCCTTTCTTTTTCGGGGAGTGAAAGGGGCCTGCACTGAGTCGTACCCTCTTCGACGTGGCACTTTCAGCAAGAGGCAGAGTGAAAGTTCCGCAGCCCCTGGGGCCGCCCTTCAGGCGTCGAGACCGACCAAGCGACCCCCACCAACGAGGCGACGAGGCGAGGTCAGCGAGGGCTGGGTGACACCCTGTGAAGGCCTCCAGAAGTCTTGCGGAACGCACAAAAACCTGCGACGGCCTCGTCTGCCTCCCATTGAACTAGCCCCAGAAAGGGCGACCCTCCGAAATGAGGCCACACCCGCTTCTGGAAATCTCTTCGGGGCACATCCTTTCCATTGACAAGCTTCCGCTCGGAACCACATCCAACGCCACAAAACACACACACACACAAAAAAAAAAAAAAACTCGCCGCCTGCAGGGACTGCGCGTCCAGCGGCCGACGGGTCAACAGCCTGCAAGCAAAACATCATGGAATCGAGGACGGCTCCCCCTTCAAACAAGGGCTCGCCTTTTAACTCCTTTATGGAGAAGGGTCAAAAGGCGATCCCCTTTATTGCCGCTGCCAAATGGTCCACTTGAATTCAAAGAACGGAAAAGCATCGATGGACTCCAAGGCTGGAAGACATTTACGGGCCCCCCTCTCCCCCCTCCCACCCCCACCTACTTCCCTCCCCCATCTGAGCGCCTGATGTCCTCCATGGCTTTCCGCAGCTTCTCCGCGCGCGAAGCGGGCACCAACTTCCCGCGCTTGGACAAGGTCCAGGAGGCATAGGCTGGGTCCTCGCAGCAGCCGTTGGGCCAGGTGTCTGTGGGAAGCCGATCAAAATTAGACCACCAGGGACCGCAGGTTTTAGTCATCCATTTTTGACCCACAGCCATCTGAAGTATCCCCCACATCGGCTCCCCTCAACTCGCAAAACCAATTCAGGGCGACTCATTTCAGGGCTTGTTGGGCAGAGACCTCGACTCTTTCGGGACAAAAGGGAAGGCATCCGGAGCTCGCGCGAACCCTGGCCGGCTTGCCCACCAAAGCCGGGGAGGCGGGGATTGGGCCGGGCCCCCTTGGGGGGAAACCAACAGCAGACCCTTGTTTGGGGTCGAGCCCATTTCGCTGCGCGGGAAAACATGTCACCACAAGTTGAAGGAGTGGCTCAACCACCAAACTGGTGAAGACCCAAGCCAAAAAACCCAAAGCCAGCTCCAAGCCAATGTTTGTCTGCCCAAAACCACACTGGCGTCTCGCAATGTCCGCCAGAAAATCCTTGCAACCACAGACACCACCCCAAAATACATGGGCCTGGCAAATGGAACAAACCCCATCTAAAAAAGTGGAACCCATCTATTCTTAGCCAAACTAACCCAACCCCACCTAAACCCCACCTAAACCCCATCTGAACCCCATCTAAACCCCATCCTTGCCCCATCCAACCAACCTGAACCCATCTAACCTGTGACCGCTGAACCCTCTCCGCGCTTTCCACCACCCGAACGATCCGCGCGCGGATCGAGCCGCGCGGAGTTTCGGAGCTCGGCCTGCGCCGCTTGCTGCAGCTCGCGGACGGATCGGCGCGCAGAGGCCAGGGCCTCGGCCTGGCGGCTTTCGATCGAAGGGGTGGGTTTGGACTCGGTTCGCTTGGACTGATTTGGCTTGATGTGGTTTGGAGGGATTGGTGATTCGGTTTGGATTGGTTTGGATTGGTTTGGATTGGTTTGGATTGGTTTGGATTGGTTTGGATTGGTTTGGATTGGTTTGGATTGGTGGGTTGATGTGGTTTGGTTTGGTTTGGTTTGGTTTGGTTTGGTTTGGTTTGGTGGTTCGGTGGTTCGGTGGTTTGGTGGCTTGGTGCTCCCTGCGATTTGCTTCGAATCTGTCTTTCTTCTTGGACCCTCTTTCTTTGCGGTTTGATTGGAAACCAAGAGGCAAACCGAGAACTCCATCTTTGGGGATCCCACCGCAAAAAGACTTCGGCCCAGCTTGGAGCCCGGTGGTTTGGCCACGATTGGTGACATACCGCCCGAGAAGCCGCCCGAAGCGACGGAAATTTTCAGGAATCCAGCACCGATCAAAGTGCCAAAAGAGCGAAGGAGGCAACGGAATATATCCCTGCTGGAGCCAGGACAACATTGAGTTTGTCTCCCAACACGGCAACCCACAACAAAGCTGGATTCTCGGACAGAGAATCCAAGCTCCGCAACTGCACAACTTGTGACCTACGTCCAAAAATCGGTTCACCAAACCTCCGTTCACTGCACAACTTGTGACCTATGAGGAAAAAAAAAACGGAGCCGCCCAAAATTCGGAACTTTCGGAGCCCAACCTAAAAAAAAAGGCGCTCGCCTTTCGAATCCCGAGCCTTGGGATCCCAGGAGAACCGCACCGGCTGCATGGGGTGGGCCTTCATCGGCTCCTGTCCGAGTCGAAAAAGCGGTCCCGGTGTTCCACTCACAAGAGCCATGCGTCGCAAAGGCTTCAGTGGAAACCAGAAACTTCGGGGGAGTCAGATTGGTTCAAATGTTTGAGATGGCGTTTTGTTTTTGTCAGATTGAAATGTTTGGTTGGTTCGAATTGGTTCAAATGATTGTGAGGTTTTGTTTTCAGAGACATCTTGCCTTCTTGAGAGAGTTTCTCTGATGCCAAGTTTTAAAGGTGAGAACAGCTTGCCCTGTCGCATGCTGGCAGAAAGGCTTCACACCCTACTGAGCATGATGGTTCTTGGTTGATTCGAATTGGAGAGGACAATCACTTACAAATCTGGCAGCAAACCGCTCAAGCGTTTAATTTCTGGGTATCTCAGGCATGAAGTTCCTCGCAACTTCTCCTCAAATGTTCAGCCCTCTTTGATGTCGCGGCCGCTCCGAATTCCAGTCTCTTCCGCAGAACTGCTTCAAACCTTTGCGGCTATTGCTCCCCTGCCGGTTTGTGGGAAAGAACAAGCAACATTGATGGTGTCCTGGCTGCTGAAGTGAAGGGAAATCAACCAAAACCCATCCCGACCTGACCCAACCGACCAGCAAACCGACCAGCCAGCAACCAAACAGCACCCATAGCAGGCACTGAAGCTCCTCTGCCAGGAGCGCTGGCGCCGGCGCCTGCCCCAAACGCACGACCGACGTCCGACGCGGGGTGATGGAAGCGTCTTGGAACATTCAGAAGGAATCTATTCTGCGTAGCCAAAGCCACACTGTTCAACCAGTTGAGAATCGGGATTACTCCCTAATTTCGGGGGGGGGGGGGGGTGGTGGTGTTTGTTGACCGGCAAAAAACAGATCATGTCAGTGCACTAAGCAAGGTTTGGACTTTGGCCGACAGCGCCTCATCGCCCTTCGACGCCTTGCCGTCATGAAGCGCATCGCCGTGGGCATGTCCATGCTTGGACCCGCGCACATGTTTGGGCGTGTGCGAGCCCTTCTCGTGGTGCGCTTCCTGGGCCGAGGCTTCGGGGAAGCCGTGGTTGTGGCCATTCTCATCGTGCGCCTCGTGGGAGTCGTCATCGTCCTTTGCGTCGTCCGCCTCGTGAGACTTGTCCTCGTGAGCGTTGTGGGCATCATGTCCATCACGCTCGTCGTGCGCGTCACGGGCATTGTGTTCGTGGGCATCGTGTTCGTGGGCATCATGGGAGCTCTGGTGCGACCTCAGCTCGGTAAAAATCATGGAGAAGAGCTGCGGCCTGCGCGCGCCTCTTGATTCAGAAAGACTCAATCTGCTCAAGAGGAATATACACAGGAACAGCAAACTGGCAACCTCAAAATCGCGCCTTCATTTAGCTAAACTCAACTCCTTGCTGGCATGCGAACGCCGATTAAAATGTCCAGTCGTTCCGTCTGACATATCGGACACACGGAGTTCCTCCAGCCCCCGGAAACATCCGTAACCAGGCCGATGGCATTGCAGCAGTTCTTTCGACCATTCACACTCACACCATAATGTTCAAGATGCGCAACCTCCTTTTCAGGTCCCAAAGGTTCGCACCAATGTTGAAGTGCACTGCACACCAGGTCCATTTCGGGGATGTGGAAACAAGCCGCCTTGACCGCTGAAAAACTCCCTCTGCGATGTGATAATCCTCATTCCATAGACTGTGTGCCAGGCAGCGCAGAGGCCTGATCCGGCACCCATTGCCCGGCCTGGGGGCTGGCCGTGAGCGTTTGCGGCGTCCCATCTGCATCTTTTATGGACGAGTTCGGCACAAGACGCCGTGGCTTGGAACCATGGGCCAAAACCAACCTTCATCTCGATCACGCAAAACAAAACCAAAAACCTGGTGGTGTCAATCGAAAAAGGATTCGGACCCAAAATGGCTGAACGGTGTCCCTTCTGATGTTCCTTTCCCACCAAAACACGCCTACCATCAAAGAACGAGACGAGCTTTCCTGGTTCCGATACCGCTCCGTAGAGAGCCGCCCGTCCCTATTCAAACTCCAAGCCCCTGATCTTTTTGTTGGGGGACCCTGACATCCTTCACCCGTTTCGTCTACACAATTTAGAGCTGCTCCATGAGCTGTGCGTCCCTCCAATTCTCATAGCTGGGGCCGCGGGCGTACTGCTCCATGTACTCCGCGTAGTCTTGGACTCCGCCCATCTGCATGCCTCGTAACCGAGCGGTAAGTTACCATGGTTTCGTGGTTGAGTGTGGTTGGTTTATTTGCTATACCTTGGGCATCCACCCTATTTCTCTCTTTTGGCTGTCTACATAGTCTGTTGCTTTTGTTTCTCTCTCTCTCTCTGTCTGGCTCGCTTCTCTTTCTGCGCAGCGAGAGTTTAAGTACTGCTTTGTGTCAGAGGGATGTTGTTCGGCTGTCTGAAAATCAGGTGGGACATTTCCAAAATAGCTAGTCTCCTTAGAAGGTCCCAAAGGCGAGCTCCAAAGCAACGCACAAAAGTCTCTGAATCGGTACACCCACAAAAAGTGCCTCGTGTAAACCAAAGGAACCCGATCTTGCAGAACCCTATCTGATTCGTATGGTCCTTGGTGCGAAACGAAAGTCTCTCGCCACCCCCGATTCAAAAACTGGAGATCAGGAATCCCATGCGAGAAACCGTGACATCAGCTTCCCTCTATTTGTTTTGGTTTGGTTTTGGTGGTTTGGTGCTGTTGGTTCTTGCTACCCCAGTTCCCACCACTCCAAACCACCAACTCAGGGGTACATGATCATAGGTCAGCTCGTCCTCTCGTCAAACCCCAGGCCTCCGGAGGCGAACTCCTTGCCCTCGTAGTCGAAGGCGTTCCGCCTGAGCGTTTGGGAAAAAAGAAAGTCCCTAGGTTGGTGGCAGGGAATTTCACGGGGAGGCTTTTTAGTGTGGCTCGGAAATCGGTGCCCGTTCGGATATCTAGAAGCAAGGACGATTTGACTTGCGATCCATATCCTGGTGGAATTTTGAGCCATGCCCACATGGGTGTAGCCTTAAAACTTCAAGACCTGGCTTGCCCACCGCAGGTTTTGTTCGTCTTTCTTCCGTGCGCCTGGTGCCATTTTGGGGATTCCATGTTGGGAGCCACCTCGCCCCCGTGCTCCTTGGGCCCTGGGGTCGCCCGCCTTTTTCAGGGTTGGACCCCAAGGACACCCCTAACATGGTGGCGTTCCTTTTGGTTTCCCTTTCAGACCACCCCAAAAAGGGCCTCAAAAGAAAAGAAAAAGCATCCAATTGGATGAGTCTTCTCGTCCAGTGTTGCCAACCAGTGGAAATCTGTGCTCCACAAGTCTGGAAGATTGGGCCAAACTTAGACCATGGAGATCCATGGTGTGTCTGCTTTTGGGGGGCCCCCCCCAAACCAAAAAACCATGACCCCCGAAAAGATGGGCTGGTACCAAACCGTTTCCCTTTAAAACCGCCAACAAAATGGTACCCCTCAAAAAAGACACCCACGACAAGCACTACTAGCTTGAACTGTTTTGCGCAGCAGCGTACAAAGCAAACCAGGTTCCAACTTTTCTCTGAATTGGCCTTCTGAACCACGGTTCAGGGAAAACGTAGGTGAGTCTGGAAGAAGGCTTTCAGTTCGATGGGAATCTTTCATCCGGCCAATCAGCGGGTTTGCCAGGAGCTGCTCGCAACGTGTGTGGTTCAAGCATGTTTGGACAAGAGATAGAATCATCCAGGCTGCAACTGCCGGAGAAGAAGCAAATGCGTGCTGGTCGGGTTCCAGAAGAACTCACCCTAGGGCTTCTCTGTTTCTCGCGCGCGTGATTGAGTTCTTCACTTTTTATACCATTTCTGCGTACCGGCATACCTACATGCCACCTGATCCGATCCAATGTGGAGGGATCTCAACTTGATCTGCGGTCTTCGCGAAAGAATTCGACACGCGGAAGCCGAGACGCGGAAGCTGATTTTGATGCGGCATCCACTGCTCAGCGGCAAGCTGGCAGTTTCCCAGATGCGTCCAATTGTCGCCAGACCACTGACTTTGCATCGTGGAATGCTCAGTAGTTTACCCCCAAAAAACAGCAAAAAACTCCCCTCCCTCCACCCCCACCCCAAAAACAAATAAGATAAAAACAAAACAAAAACTCCCCCCCCCCCCCCCTCCCTCCCACCCAAAAAGAAGAGCCAGAAAAGGAAGAAAAAAAGACGCCGCGCACTTTCAGAGTGCCGCTCCTGGCGCTTCTCTCTCTGCGTCATTGTTTTTCTTCGCTGGGCTTCACGCCCGCCCTCCTCCGTCGCGTACTCGATGACCCAGGGCCTCGGCCGAACCCGTCGAGATAGGAAGACCATGTTGGTCGGAACCCGACCCCACCAATTTTTCCATCATGGGACCCTGACGTTCGGGAAATGGCGCCTTGAAGAGGAGAATGGTCTAATCCGTTCGGACCCCCCAAACGTCAGGTTCCATGTGTACTTGGTGGGAGGGTACGTCATACCAAAAAACGAACTCGCTCCTGGCAAAGAAACCAAAAGGTGACGGCTCATTAACTGGCAAAAGTGGGAAGCGGCGAACAAGGATGTTGGCTGGGCCTGGCCTGCATGGCTTAGGAATAAGCCAAAGGTATCTATACTCGGTTGCTTTCTGCTCCCCTGCCAAAAGTATTAACTTTTAGTGGTTTGATGGAAAACCCACTAGTTTGCAACAGGTTAAAGTCCTAACATCCAAGCAAAGTGCACCGAAGTATAATCTGGGAGGTTCATGACCATACCGCATGCGAAAAAGAAGGATGACGTCCAGTACTCAAGCGGGCAACAAACGTGTCGATGGTATACGTAGAGGCTATACCCGGATTGCCTCTTTCCGTTGGGTGACCCTTTGTAGGTCTGTCTTTCTTTAGGGGACCCCCAAATCATGGTTGTCTGATTGTCCTTCTGGTCTTAAACCCACCAAAAAGGGGCACCACGAAAAAAGAAAAAAAAAAGGAAAAAAAACATCACACCCATGTAAATGATTATTTCACCCCAAACGCCAAGGCCTCGGACACCCACCTGTGGCCCCACGCTTGGCGAAGGACTCATAGCCCACCTCACCGCTGGCGGTTTTCTTGCCGCCGCCGGGCTGATAGCCTGAGTCCTGGCTCTCAGTGTGGCACGAGGCAGCGCATAGACTCGGAGCTTTCTGGAGCCATACTGATGGACGAAATCCATTTCGCACCACCTGAGAATCCCTGGAATGTTTGGATTCCCTGTGAATACCAACAAACAATGGTTTCAACCATGGTTTCAAAGTGGTGCAGGATTTTGTCCATCCAGAGTAGCAATCATAGAACCTAAAACCGCGACGATTGTGGGTGGTTTCTAGTACCTGGTGACTGTTGACTAGGTGCCCACTAAGGATCATGTGCAACGGCCAAAACCGACTCTCGCTCTCTCCAGCCAGCTTGCCGAAAGGAGCTTCGGGGAACCCAGATCTACATCGTCTAAAAGTGTCCGAGGATCAGCCAAGTTGGTCTCGCAAGTCGGCGAATCAAAAGCTAGTGGTAGCTGCCCCATTCGTTGCAAGGATCCTTAGCGAACCACAAACCAAGGGAAAACAGCTGTGTTAAGAACCATGGTTCAAAACACTTGGGGATCAACTCGACGAACCCTCGGAAAACACAGTGAGTCCGTGAACAGGTTTACTCCAAACATTAGACATGTGCTGAAAAAGAATGGTCGCAGGATCTTCATGGCAAAGCCGTGGGCGGCGAACCAATAGCTACATTCACGGCGTGCAAGACTCGCGTCCAATCGTTGCCCATGTGCATTCTGCAGAGTATGTGAAGGTGTATACACCCACACCACCAAACCAGTACAACAACAATGTAACTTACCAAACTGTCGCACCTGTTCGGGGCAGGGTGTCCCAAATTCGATCCTTCATCAACCCCTGAGTACAAAAAGGACGCCTACAGTATAATCTTGAGGCTCGGAACAGCCTCCGCCCCGGCGTCCTGCCCCGCACTGCCGCCGCTGCCGCCGCCACCGGATTGCTCCTGCGTGCCTGCGCAAACCCCACTCCACCGTGCCACCCCCAGCTGGTCAAACGGGCAGACCTCATGCATACCCTGCATGTTATCTGGCTGGTGCACGGACGTGTGCTCATTGCGGGAAATCCGTGTCTCTTTTGCTTGCTCATGAAAGCCAGCCACAACAAAGACCCCAGATGGCAAAAACGTCATTTGCTTGGCAAAAAAGGCGCTCAACAATCGTGAACGGTAATGGAAGCACAAGACAATCTGAAATAACCTTGAGCGCATCACTGTTTGCTGCGCCAACACCATCCTCTGTAGCAGCACCCCGCACAAAAGAACCGCTACAATCCCACCTGCAAAACCACCCTGCAACAACACGCTGCTGCAGCAACTGCGCCAATCTCAGTCACACTCTCCAGCAGCCCCCATCAGCAGCACCCTGCCCAACGTTCAGTCACGCTCTCCATTGCCATGCTGAAGTCTTGCGTTATCTTTCATTCCACCTGTCTTTGTTTGGAGGACCCTCCAAACGTAGCTTCCCTTTTAATTCCGTTTAAAACCACAACAAGGGGGGGGACCCTCAAAAAACGGCATCCCCCTGTAGCTTTCAGCTCTCTGGGGCTTAAGCTGGACCCGCTGAGTGTCAAGCCCGAGCCAAACCGCGTCTATCCCGGACCCGAAACCCCCCGATTGTTCATCTATTGGCAACTGAACAAGCGATGCGAGCAAGGTCAAAGAGACGCGAACAATAATGCCATTCCAAGAGACCCGAGACCCGTGGCAATCAACATCCACGGCGCTGGTCTGCTGGCTTTTTGAGGCTCCGTGCAGTCATTTGGTTGGGGATCCCCTAAAAAAGCGACACACCCCTAAGGGATTCCACCAAAGCCCGTGGCTATGGGGCACCTCCGATTTACGGCCTGGCTCAGCGTTCGGTCGCTTCCAGCCCGGCATTGGTCGTTGCTAGGCCTTCCCAGTCGCCACAGGAACCAATCGCCGATGATTTCGGAGCATTCCGGAAGATGCGGCGAGAGTCGAATGGCGAGAGGTGCTTTGGCGACTCTCAACCCTGGCACCTGGCACTTGGGGACAAAGCGCCTGGCCCTTGGCACAAAGACTTCTGCCCAACCCAACCACCACTGAAGCAGACGGCCGCAACCGCCTCGGCCCCATATTGCAAGAAAGCCGACGAAGGCCGGGCCCAGCTCGTTCATGGCCAATGGTCTTGGGTGGGGCACAGGCCAAAAGGCTACGGGACCCCACCAGAAGTTCCCGCCAGCTGGCAGCTTCCCTACCTGAACCAGCACGGGGAAAAAAAGAAGAAAAAAACATCCAAGGACGCAACATGGTCAGTACAAAGCCTGTACAGAACCCAAACCCAATGCGGAAAGGAACAGCATCTGCACCCCCAATGGGAAAAGAACGAAGCACTGCCTTGCTTGAGCGCCACTTCCCAGGGCTCCACGGAGCCGCAGGTTTGTCAAAAAGATATGAGGCTGCCGTTACCCTTGGGGTTGGTTTTTAGATAAACCCAAAGGATAATCAAAACTCAACTAGGGGTTCCCTAGTTTGACCAGCCATACCCATTCGCCCCCCATCAGCTGGGAAAACCAGCACACAAGTAGGATTAGACCAGCCACCCCCATTTGAAGCCCGTCACCTCCCCCCCCTCCCCCCAGCCGCCAGAGAAAGCGTGGCTTGCCTTCGCTGTGGGATCCGCCACCTGCAGATTTTGGGCGGAACGGGTGTCCTTTGAACAGGGTTTGCCTCGTTTGGGCGTGTCCCCTTTTAGAGGACCCCACAAGATGGCGCAAAAAGGTCTTCCGGGCTTCCTTTTGGCTTCCCGGGCAAACCACAAGGGGTGGCCTCCTTTGTTTGACACACACCGTTTGACTATCCTTTGGTGGATACAACCCAAAAGCAACCCGTACCAAGGATCCTTTAGTAGACGTGGTCCGAAAAAAATAAGAAGAAACAGAAGAAGAAACAAAAGCGCCGCGAATCTTTGAACCTGATGATTTTCCCTTGACAGAGAGAAGGGACTGGTTGCTTCAGCCAATGCCCAAGCTGGAGACCAATGACCAGGGGTTATCAGAGAAAGCGAGACAAGCAGTTCAGCGAGATGAAAATCCGGCGGACATCATTGGAACTGGAAGGCGCGCCGATTGGGCCAGGGCATCCTAGTGCATCCTAGTGCATCTGTCTTGCCATGCGTTTGATGCGAGTCAAAACAACCCTTTCAAAGAGTTCGGTTCTTGATGGCGGTTAAACTATCCCCAAAGATGTCCCGAGATTTGAGACAGCCATTAGTAGGATGTAAAATGCCTGATCAGAGAAAACCAGACCCGCCGATGGCAAGGTAATTTTACTTCCGAATGCAAATAATGGCGTGATTGAAAAAAGCCCTCTTGATGGTCATTCTTGGTCATGAGACTTCGTGTGATACTTCTCTAAAGGGGAAAGCACCCGGCGGATTTCCGCTGTATCCCCTTTAACAAGTACCTCACCTGGCTCAGGCTGGATTCGGCGGCCTTAACCGCCAGCCCTGTTGCCCCTGACGCTTGTCACACGGGGGACATTGGGAAGGGAGGTTCGCCCCTGTGATATTTTAAACCAAATGGCAGATCTACGGACCCCTTGTCCGGCCGGAGTGCAAAGCCAATAGCGATCTGTGGGCCTGCCAAACAGGCTGAAAAAGTCAGGGCAAACAACTCACAACATCAACAGGTCAAAAACGGGGCCTCTTGGGTCTGTCTTTTGTAGGGGCCCATTTTAAAACCAACCAAAAAGGGAGGGTACACGTATTTTTGATCAAGACACCCTCTTCTCAATTGCCCAAAAACAGCTGGAAGACAACTGCCTGACCTTTAAGGGACACTCGAGACTGATAACGGCAAAACCTTAAGCAATGCAACCACTGTGTAGTTTAGCCGCTTAGCCTCGCCCAAAAGTTCAACAGTTGTTTTTGGGCCCAGCCCGTAAATCAGGCCCTCAATTCGCCACAAAGCAAATAATAAAACGGCCATTGCAAAACCCTCGTGGGTGTGCGAGTGTTGTTTGCGCAAGCCAAACACGGTCTGCGCAAGTCACAAGCCACAACATGAGTCTGGAACCAATAATTTGACCATGGTTGTTAGTAAGGGAGCTCTAATTGGACGGCACATCGCTTTGCGGCCTGCCGCTTCTAACTAAAAAAAAGACGCTCGCTTCTCCCCCTCCCTTACAACCCAACCACGAGATGTATGAAACACTGCTCTCATGGTTTGCCTTTTGACCTTTTGAGGAAAACAGTGAGCAGGATGCGTCCAAGCAGCGCAGAGACTGCACTGAGTTCTCAATCCAATCCCCGGCCCTCCGGTTGCCTCCTTGGCCCTCACTCTCGGTGCCTGGCACAAACGATTTCCAAACTGAAAGCCTACGAATACATCGCGCTAGGTCCTTCATAACCCTGAGCCAGGTCGAAGCACTGAACGGCAAGAACAAGAACAACCGACCACCACCGCCACAACCACCCGCACCAGCACCAGCGCCAGCACCAGCACCGCCAACCACCAGCAGCAGCACCACAACCACAACCACAACCACCACCACAACAGCAACAGCAGCAACAACAACGCAAAACAGCAAACAGCCACTGCGACGACGACCACCACCACAACGATGACGACCACAACACCAACAACAACAAGGTATGCCGTGTCTTTCGCAGCCCCTGTCGCACGGCCTAGATTCAACCTGGTCGCCCTTTTTGCGCCTGGATTCCAGCATCAGCTCCGGAAAAGAACAGCAGCTTTCCAAAATAAGACGGTCCATGTAGTTTCATGTTTGCACAGTTGAGACCTTTCCTACACTAAGAAACTTCCCTTGTACTCTCCTGCAAAGAGAATAGATAATATTCCCAGTTTCCTACAAGAAACATCCACCATGTCCCTTTCCCTTTCCCAAACAGACACGTCTCGCCTGAGCCCACACTGTTGCCACCCGACTCTGTGCGCTCCTGCGGGCAGCGAAACGGAGCTACACCACTCGCTCCACTTGCTCCTTACACCCTCGGGCCTGCAAAATTGACCAGCATAGAGCCCCCAAAGCTGCAATGGAGGGTTTGTCAGGTTCGAAACTCACTCATCAAAGCCTAAGGTGGAATCGGTTGGAACACGCAAACACACTGGGTGCTCACAAAACACAACAAAACCGGTTCAACGGTTGGTTCAACCATTATAAGCATTATGAACAAGACAACAAAATGATTCTTATAAGAACCGGTTCCGTCCTCGGTCGCATCTTGCGCGAAGCTCTCGTAGGGGCCGGGGATGTAGAGGTCGTAGGTCTTAGACATGGACCTGCGGCGCGGCGCCCCGAGCTGGAGAAAGGTCGATGGGCTGCCTGGTTTAGATAAAACCCATGTCTCACCAAAACCTAAGAAGGACACCGTAAAAGGCAAGGTCTGTGAACGAATTCGTCTCAGACCAACATGGTTGCCCCCGGTTTAAGAGGAAAGACCCAGCTGGTTGAATCATGAAAGTTTGCAATCCTCAATCACCTCTGCCCTTTGGTTTGGATTAGTGGGGCTTCTGTCCCAAACGAAACCAACCCATTGGGCGTCCATTCCGTGACTTCCCTCAATGGTCTGAAGGCAGCTGAGGTCGATATGCATAGGTCTTTGTTTAAGGATACCCTTTTTTATGGCTTGAAAGGAAACCAACGGTAAAACCACCATTTGGGGGGGGGGTCCCTGAAAAACCGACACACCCATACCTGTCGCTGCCTGAAGCGGCGATGCATGTTTCCAGTGCCAAGCATGGCAACAAGGCATGTTCGGTCTGAAGTATAGCCCAAATCCAAGCCTGTTCACCCTGATATCATCCTAGGGTCAAGACGAACTGTAACAATAAATCATTCACCGAACCAAAACGGCTGGAACCGTGTTGAAAGAAGCCTTCACAAGGCCCCAAACATCGGCCGCAAACCAAAAAAAAGTTGTGAAGTTCATGGAAGTCCGTCACTGGAGCCCAAGCCAGGGGCAGATGGGGCAACTCTTGACCCTTTTTGGAGAAGAGATTTGGCCCCCCTCTAATATGTTGATTTTTTGTTTTCAAATATGCTTTATTATTGATTTGTTTTTTGCTTTCAGTATGTGCTTCATTTCTTGGTGTTTGATTCCCACTTTCGGGTCAGAGGGAATGGCGCCATCCATGCCAAGCGCTGCGACCGGACTCGGGGACCCGGGCTTGTTCCAGGCGTCCAGCTGGCCCTTCCTCAGAGATCTTCCAACCAGTGGGGGGGAGAAGGGGGGGGGCGTTTTTGAGTCGGTGCCCCCCTTTTCAGTAGTCGAGGGCCTTGCCTAGCAAATAAATTGCTTCATACATACCCCCCACCCTACATTTTTTTTCATCTTCCATCTTCTACCCTTATTTGTTTTCATCATTTTTCTACATTCCTTTCTGTCCATCTCATCCGTTTTTTTATCATCATTTTTCCAAAATTTTCGCCATCCTTTTCTCCTTCCTCCTCGCCTCATTCATTTCACCATATACCTCTCAAAATGTCATTTCCTCAATCTCCTCGCCTCATCCATTTCAAAAAAATAAATTTTGCAAAATATATTGCAAAAAATATTTGTCATCAAAAAAATATTCGAACTGTCTAAAAACGATTTGTCCATTTCCCGGACAAAAAATAGAACAGCAACAACATCACTCTCCTCCTTCGTTTCATCACTTTTATCATATATTTGTTTAGGCGTGGCCCTCCTTGTAGGATTTTATCTTCAATATATAAAACGCTATACTGACATTATAATTATAACATATAAGGGTATACATGTTATAATCATAGTATGGTTATGAAATTGATATAGCTACCAACACTTTCATTATCGCTAACTTCTTCTTCGCTTTTGTAGAAGTCTTCAGTGCCTAATATATGATAAAACCGGATATGCCATTCTGCTTCTGTTCTAAATGGCATCATTGATAAAAGTGCTCTCATAGCGTCATAATATTGACTTGTCAGTATTTTTCTACCATTAATGTTCATATCATCAATATTATTAATAAACCATAGATGCTTAAACTTATATTCAATATTAAATATGTAAGAATAATCGTAAAATGTTTTTAATTCTAAGTATATTTCATATTCAGATTTTTTACCATCTAAATATTCAGTCAAAGACATTATCCAGAATGGATTTCTTTTTACCTTTTCCCAAGTTGGAAAAGGGTGTTTAATGATATCGTTATACCTGTAAGGACATATATCATAACAGTTATATGACATAATATTCAATCTAATTTCTAATGGTAAATTGTTAAGTTCCATTTCTATTATAATGTATAGTGTGTATTTCTTTAAATACTTTTTTACAAGAAATAAAATTACATATTGAAATATAATTATAACATATAATATTTTACATGTTATTATTATATTATGATTATAATTTAAGTTCAGGATAATAATTTAATTGACAAATCTTTCTTCTTTCATACATCATTTTAAATATAATATTAATATCTATCACCATATTGTTAACATTAAACTGTTCACTTTCAATATATGATTTAATGATTTTTTTTACATCAAACCCTTCTTTTCTTTGATACTCCAACATCCATAATATGTAGTCAATCATTTCATACTTTTTCTTACTGATTCTCATAAATGCTCTAACATAATCATAAGGTGGTATTTTATACACAGTTAAAAATATCAAAATGTCATCTTCAACATTTCTTTCATTAAACCTTTTAATATCCAAATTACATTCGATTGCTTCTTGGTAATATCTCCAATTTCTACAAATTTTACATAAATTTTCTTTACCCAAAGAATAATCAATAATATTATTAACTATTCCATTAGGTAAATTCAATTTATATAATTCCATATTTTCTGTTTTAAAGTGGCAACAATCGTAGCATTTCCTATTGATATAATTATTGATTTCGGTTTCCATCATTTCTATTATAATATATATAGTTTTTATTTCTTTAAATACTTTTTTACAAGAAATAAAATTAAATATTGAAATATAATTATAACATATAATATTTTAGATGTTATTATTATAGTATGATTATAATTTAAGTTCAGGATAATAAGTTAATTGATGATTATTAAATTGTGTAAATATCTTACGTTTGTCATGCATCAGTTCAAAAATAATATTAATAGTTTTCACGGTATTTTTCACATTAAACTTATTGCTTTCAATATATGATTTAATGTCTTCTTTTAAATCAGACCCCTCTTTTCTACGATGCAACAACATCCATAAAATGTGGTCAATCAGTTCATATCTTTTCTTACTGATTTTGAGAAATGCTCTAACATAACTATAAGGTGGTCTTTGATACACAGTTAGAAATATTATAATGTTGTCTTCAACATTTCTATTATGTCTTCTTTTCAGATTTAAATGACATCTGATTAATTCTTGATTATCTCTCCATTCCTGACAAATTTCACATTCATCTTCTTCACTCAAAGCATAATCGATAATATGATTAACTATTCCATTAGGTAAATTCAATTTATACAATTCCATGTTTTCTTTTTTTAAGTGGCAACAATCATAGCATTTTTTATTGATATAATTATTGATTACGGTTTCCATCATTTCTATTATAATATATATAGTTTTTATTTCTTTAAATACTTTTTTCCAAGAAATAAATTTATACCTTTAATAACTCATGTCTCAAAAATGCCCTGTCATAATTTTCAATATAATAATATTCCTGTCCTAACTTCTTTTCAATCTTTGCTATTTTGTAGGTTTGTTTAGTCCATACTCCTACTCTCTCCTTTTCGTTTGGTTTCCTTTTCCTGAATATCTTAACTTCATTTCCTACATTTAAATCTGGATAAACTCTATTTCTTTTGGCTTTCATACCTAAGTTTAAACTCACTTCTAATTGATGTTTAGGCTTTCTTGCTTCTGACGGTGTTAAGCCGTGCGAAGTGTGCTTTATTCCATTGTTATAAGTTAATATAATCTCGTGTATGTAGTCTGTCCATTGAATAGCCTTTCCTTTTTTCTCATCGTTTTCAACCCTCTTATACAAGCTATCTTTAAACGTCCTTATCGCCCTCTCCGCGAATGCTGGGTGACCTCTGGTTCTATGTAATTCTATTTTTTCATCTTTCAAGAAATCTATAACACTTTGATTATTATAAGCTCCTTCATCGTCAATATAAATTAGTTTGGGCTTTCCACCCATTTTTTTAATACATTCCATCAGTCCTGCTAAAATGTCCGCTGGCTGTTTTGACATAAGCGGGACAACAACCATATACTTAGAAAATATGTCAATACACATCATGCCAACTTTCATTTTTTGTTTAGGGATATCATTAATGAAAAATAAATCAATTTGAAACTCATAATATGCGTTAGGAGCTACAAATGAATTCTGTCCTCTTGGCTTGGCTTTCTGTTCTACATTCTTCCTAAAAAACTCATTAATATCGTTTATAGTAATTGATTTATCTTTTTGTCTTGCTTCTTGTAAAGTGCGGTTCTTTGACCCGAAGCCTCCTTTATCATAATAAACATTATTAATAATATCTTGCTTAGATGCCATATAAAATAAGATAGATATTATTTTTCCCGGCGATTACAGTTTAAACAGTAAGATATACAGTTTTCCTTATGATGGGCATAATCGTTGTTTATTCTTTGGGCTGTCATATTGCTATTTATTACTCCATTATTTATTTCTATGTCAAAATCTGAACTGCATTTATTACATCTGGTATTAAGCCTGTCAAATAACCATTTGACATCAATATATTGTTTGTTGTCTATCTCTCTCTCTGCTTTCATGTCTTGTAATTTATATTGTTTAATCTTATGTTCTAAATATCTGGTTACTTGTGCTTCATTTAAATCAGTATCATCTACGTCTGCTTTGAAAAACTTGACTTTATTGATATCTCTGCATCTCGTGAGGGCTGTCCAAATCCACTCACGGCTGACCAAATGCGATTTGTCCCATTCGTGTATAGTAATGCTTTTATCTAGAGAAGCCCCTTGAGACGAATGACATGTAGCACAATAAGCATGTATAAAGTGCTTGTCTAAAGTCGTGGTGTTTGTCATGAATATAGTTTTACTTTTGATATCTTGGATTTCTACTTTCCAATCATCAATACTAATAATTTCATAAGTAATATTTACATTAAACACCTGCCCCATTTCCTTTTTATAAACTCTGCATATCACATGCTCTCCAATTTCATATTTATCTGTCTTTCCTAAATTATTTCTTACGGTCTTGCTTACCCATTTGCACCTAGCATTAGTATAGGCTATGTTATGCTCTCCTTCCA